GTGGAACCACCATGGCTATGGAGTTTCGGAGCAGTTCCAGAAGAAAACAATCTTTTGGATCTGCGATTACCTCGATTCTTCTCCTCTTCTTCATCCATGGTGCTCACTCTTTCTACCTTCCCGGTGTCGCTCCTCAGGATTTCGAGAAGGTACAGTTTCGATTTCTTTGGGATCTCTGTTTGGATCTCTCGGATCTGGTTTTTGAATCGTAGTGCCGACGATTCACCGACTTTTGATTTTAACGTTTCTAGAGAGGATTTGTATGTTTCGACGATTTGAAGCACGAATTTGTAGATCTCCTGATCGGTAGAATGTCACATTTCAACACAAGCTTCATTAATATGTGGTTTTCCGGAATTAGTAGCTTTAGCCGTTGCAAATTAGTTTTCTATTTGTCATGATTCGCTTCTTATTACACAAAAATCAAACTTCGGGGTAAAATTTTGCATGCATGTGTTATTAGAATCCTAGAAACTTTTGCCGAAAGATCCAAGCTTCATTGATGGGTGATGTTCTAGTGTTGATCTTTCTTTTTGTTTGGTTCTCACCATATCTATCTACAGGGAGATGAGTTGAAGGTGAAAGTAAACAAGTTGACCTCAATAAAGACTCAGCTTCCATACTCGTATTACTCCCTTCCTTTCTGCCGCCCTAAGAAGATAGTGGACAGTACTGAGAATCTTGGTGAAGTGCTTCGGGGTGACCGGATCGAAAACGCCCCTTACTCGGTTTGTCTCTGTTTTGTTTGAAAATGATCGCAGTCGATCGACACTTGGGTTAACGTTGTTCATTTCTGGTCAGAAATATTGAGTCTTTACCTGTGATTTACCCCTAACCCTTGCGAAGTTGGAATAATGCAGTTTAAAATGCGGGAAGCACAAATGTGCAATGTTCTCTGCCGTGTCACTCTTGATGCAAAGACTGCCAAGGCATTCAAAGAGAAGATTGATGATGAGTATCGGGTCAACATGTAGGACCTAGAATAAGAGCTTTTCTTTGAATTTTTTGAATCAATAGCATGTTCTTCTTCTGTTATTTTTCTCACGCTGTGTTTTTGTGTGTTAGGATCCTCGATAACCTGCCTCTAGTGGTTCCAATCGAAAGACTTGATCAGGGTGCTGCCTCTATTGTATATCAGCTCGGCTATCATGTCGGTCTTAAAGGCCAGTATGAAGGGGTAAGCAGGTTTGGATTGCTCACTATTTGCATTGCACGTGATAGCCCGATTTTCTAAGCCGTTGTTTGAATTAACAGAGCAAAGAACAAAAGTACTTTATGCACAATCACTTGGCATTCACCGTCCGGTATCACAGAGATATGCAGACAGATGCTGCGAGGATTGTGGGATTTGAGGTCAAACCATACAGGTGCAGTTCTTGTTAACAAATTGGACTCTCTTGGGATATCCTTTCTTTTAGAGTTCTAATTTTCCTTCCCTTGATGTGTAGTGTCAAGCATGAATATGAGGGACAATGGAGTGAGAAAACCCGTTTGACTACATGTGATCCTCACACCAAGCGTCTTGTTGTTAGCTCAGCTACCCCTCAGGAAGTCGAAAATAAGAAGGAAATTATCTTCACATATGATGTTGATTTTCAGGCAAGTTCTTGTTTGATCATCACCTGATAGTTATGTCCTTGTGAGATACTTTTGTGTTCCGTTCTCACTGGTTTGTTACTGTCTCTTCAGGAAAGTGAAGTGAAGTGGGCATCTAGATGGGATGCTTATCTTCTGATGAGCGACAATCAAATTCACTGGTTCTCTATTGTCAACTCTCTGATGATTGTCCTCTTCCTCTCTGGTATGGTAGCAATGATAATGCTGAGGACTCTTTACCGTGACATTTCACGGTACAATGAGCTTGAGACTCAAGAAGAAGCTCAAGAAGAGACAGGGTGGAAACTTGTCCATGGCGATGTTTTCAGGCCGCCAGCCAATTCAGATCTTCTCTGCGTCTATGTTGGCACAGGTGTTCAGTGTTTGGGCATGGTACTTGTCACTATGATCTTTGCCATGCTCGGATTTCTTTCCCCTTCCAATCGCGGAGGTCTTATGACAGCCATGCTCCTCCTCTGGGTCTTCATGGGCCTCTTTGCCGGTTACGCCTCTTCACGTCTGTACAAATTGTTCAAAGGAACAGAATGGAAGAGAATTGCCTTCAGAACAGCCTTCTTGTTCCCTGCAGTTGTCTCGGCCATCTTCTTTGTCCTAAATGCTCTCATCTGGGGACAAAAATCATCCGGAGCTGTCCCCTTTGGCACAATGTTTGCTCTCATCTTCCTCTGGTTTGGAATCTCGGTCCCACTTGTCTTTGTTGGCGCTTACATCGGATTCAAGAAGCCACCACTCGATGACCCTGTGAAAACCAACAAAATCCCAAGGCAAATCCCGGAACAAGCTTGGTACATGAACCCGATTTTCTCAATCCTAATTGGAGGAATCCTACCATTCGGTGCAGTCTTCATCGAGCTATTCTTCATCCTCACATCCATCTGGCTCAACCAGTTCTACTACATCTTCGGTTTCCTCTTCCTCGTCTTTGTGATCCTTATGGTCACCTGCGCTGAGATAACCATTGTTCTCTGCTACTTCCAGCTATGCAGTGAAGACTATCTCTGGTGGTGGAGGTCTTACCTCACCTCAGGTTCTTCTGCGCTATATCTCTTTCTCTACGCGGCTTTCTATTTCTTCACGAAGCTCCAAATCACCAAGCTCGTCTCGGCGATGCTCTACTTTGGGTATATGCTCATTGCTTCTTATGCGTTTTTTGTGCTGACCGGAACAATCGGGTTCTACGCCTGTCTCTGGTTCACAAGGCTCATCTATTCCTCGGTTAAGATCGATTGATTCAGAAAACATT